ATTTAACTAAAGAAATTAAAACTAATTAAACTAAATCTAATCATGCTATATTTATTTCTAACTGTATATTAATTTCATTTTGAAATCATTGGTTCACATATTTGAATTATTTTTTTTAATTATTCTCATTGTAAACATAAATGATATTACAACAATTAATTTATGATATTTATCAAATTTTATTTTTTTTTTAAATATAAAATTTTCTCATGTTTAGGGATTAACAAATATTTTAAAATTATTTTTTATTAGTAAATATTTTTATTTTTAAAATATTTTCTAGCAACCCAAACACTCCCTTAGTCTCTATAAAACACTGATAAAGAAAAATCATTTCATTAAGAAAATAAAAACTAATTAAAGTAAATCTAATCATGCTATATTTATTTCTAATTGTATATTAATTTCATTTTGAAATCATTAGTTCACTTATTTGAATTATTTATTTTTTCTTTAATTATTATAAACAGAAATTATGATATTTATCAAATTGTATTTTTTTAAAATATAAGATTTACACATGTTATGAGGGGTTAAAAAATATTTTAAATTTATTTTTTATTAGTATGTATTTTTATTTTAAATTATTTTCCAGCAATCCAAACACTCCCTTAGTCTACCATAAAAAAACTGATAAAGAAAATTCATTTCATTAAGAAAATAAAACTAATTAAAGTAAATCTAATCATGCTATATTTATTTGTAACTGTATATTAATTTCATTTTGAAATCATTGGTTCACATATTTAAATTATTTAAAAAATTCATATAATTAAGTTGATTTATTCCACCAAGACCATGTGGTCTAATGGTACCTGGGTTGGACTTTCATTTAGAAGATTGTGAGTTCGAGCCTTAATGGAGGTGTTATTGACTTTCTGATTACTACTACATTGTAATAGAGACAGTAGCATTAAAAAAAAAGTTGATTTATTCCAAATTGTATTTCATATATATTTTAATTCTAAAGATATGAATAATACTAACTAAGAGAATTGTACTTAGAGATCAATAAAAAAAAATGCAAATTCTAAATTTTGCATTAATAAACTTAAACTTTAATTGGACACATTTCCTTATATGAGTGTATAAGACATTGTATATACACATAATATTTATTAATATGTACATAAGAAAATTTAATTCTATAATATAATTTCATTAATTATAATTTATATTGATAGATATATTTATAATTAAAAATTATATTTAGAAATTTAAAAAATAACATTTAAATTTTGTATGATTATTATAGTGCATAAGTGTATGTATGTATATTTTTAAAAAATTATGAATATTCATGTTTTGTTAACTTTCTAATTTCATTTATTTAATTATATTTTATAGTATATTAATTATAATTTAATGAAATTGTCACAAATATTTTGAAATCTTATATTTCTCAATTTCATTAATTATATTAATTATAATTACCAAATATTGTGGAAATTACTATAATAATTTCATTAATTATATTAATTATAATATTTGTTCTCTTCCAATATATAAATACATTGCCATAAAATTACCATAATAATTACACAAAAGAAGGAAAGTAAAATTATGAGAATAATTACCTTTAATAAAAATTAGGAAATTACATTAAAAATTAATTATATATTAAGGTAAGTATAATTTATTTTGTACCAATAATATTATATATACATTAAGTATAAAAACTATATATGTATACAAATTACAATAATATATAATTACACCGAAAAAGGTGACAAGACATAATTATTAGACAATAATATTAATAATTAATTATTAAAGCAAGTATAATTAATTTTGTAGTAATAATATTATAAATTAACTGTATATATATATATATATATATATATATATATATATATATATATATATATATATATATATATACTTTTAATTCTATTTTGATAAGCATAGTCTGTGTATATATATTCATTATTAAAAAGGAGATATAATTTAAAAAGTAAATTATTAATTTGATTGCCTAATATAATTGTCATACTAATTGATTCCATGCTACTATGTATAATTCATATATTTGAAAACTTTTTAAAGCTAAATACCGATTAATTACCTTACTAATTAAGATAATTTTTAGTCAATCAATATTTAATAGTACTAAAAGTATTATTTTAAATTTTTATAAATAAGGTATAATATTATTAAACCAAAATAATTAAAAATAATGTGTACATATTACCAAAGATTTTATAATAGTAATTTTTATTGCCTAATAGAATTTGTCAATTATTAAACATTATTTATGGTAATTATTGTATGACATTTAATGCTAAAATTATTAGATAGAATTTTTATAATTAAGGTATATGATAACAGAAGTTATAACGGTAAGGGTATTTTTGTCCAAAATTTTTTTATAGTACAACTCTAAAAGCACAATGCACAAAATGGTTAGCACTAAAAACATGGACATAACTTTATTGCCTCTTATTAGTGTATACTAGTTTTTTTTACGCGCTTTGCGCGAATGAAATAGTGCCGAATGCGTATTTTTGAATAAGTATTTCAAAGTATATCAATGCAATATTATATCGAAGATATTCATGCATAGGTAAATAAATATTGAATTTATTTATTTAAATCGGTAATTTAAAGTATATAAATGCAAGACAATATATGAGAGATTGATTTTATTGTCACTAAAATAAATGTTTGCAACTTTGTAATAACACTAGTCTAAATACTTAGTCTAAAAATAATAGTCTAAATAAATACAAATTTTGGTTTAAATTTCTCTAATTTTTCTTAATTCTCTTTTGGGCTGGGTTGGGAAAAATCCCAACCCGTATGGAAAACGGGCCGTCCCGTCCCGCCCCGTATTCTTCCAGCCCGTGACGGGCCAGCCCATATGGGACGGGCTGGCCCGTATTGACAGCTCTATGGGTAGCATTGTCATTGTCTTCATCTTTTTTATTATTATTATTTTTTTATTGGTAGTGTGTCATGTGCAATTGGATTACTGGTGATATCATAGATGTATTCATCGTGCAATTAATGAGATTATGGTGTAGGAAGCTTTAGATTTGCCTTGTTGTGTATATGATGAGATCTTAGTTGTACTATTACCTCTTTATCTTACAAGCACCTATTGATTTGTGGTAGTGATAGTTTTCGCCCTACATGTTTCATGCGTTGTGAGATGTGTGTGTAGTAGGTTATCACGTGAAAGTATTGAACAAAATATTAATATTTATTATATTTGTATAAAATACTTGGTAAATAAATGTATAAAATATATTTTGTATTATAACTTTAATATTTAATTACAAGATAATGTAAAAATAAGACAATGTAGAATAAATTAATAAATTTGAAGGTAATGAATTTTGAATTCTAGAAAATAAAGATAATATAACTAATGAAATTATATCCCTTTTTAAATATTTTATAATGTATATAACCTATCTAATTATGTTTAATATTTAGGTAATCGAATTATATTTTCGGGTATATGAAAAGTAATACTAAATTTTTTCCTCCTAAATTTTCCTTATGATGCGAAATTCGAGTAAAATTAATTTTTTGATTAATTTAGAGTAAAAATTAATTATTATACAATTGATAGTTATTTACTATATTCATTAGTATCTACTATATATATATATACATACATACATACATATATATATATATATATATATATATATATATATATATATATATATATATATATATATATATATATATTTTTAAATATTTAGATCAATATATAATTGTATAAATTATAACATCGAATATTATATAATATAATTGAAGAATTGAGTTGTACCGATTCTGTTTTCTGATGTTATCATTGCTTGAATTCGAGCAAATAATTGTCAATTAATAGCTAACGTGTAGATATACGCATTCAGTGCTGCAACTTTAGAGATTTTATATATCTGTGTTTATGATTTGTATTAATTAGGCTAATTAGCTCGTTGTCTAGCAACTCAGTTATAGAAATTATTTATACGTAAGATATATTTTTTATGTAGATATATAGCAATTTTGTCATCTTTGTATAAAAAAAACATAATATCACTGTCTTGAATTACACATTATTGAAAATCTCTTTGTAGAGGACATTGGTAGTAGTAACAGAATTTTATCTATCCTCGTCTAGAGTTAAAACCATCAGGATGGGTGACTCGGTAAAAAAACCACATACAATTAACCATTTAACCGTGATTAAAGATTGCTTTTTTTTTTCTTTTTTTTTTTCTAGTAATAACTCAACGTGAGTTAGTGTTTGACCCTGACTTTTGTTGATAGTCATGGCATATGCGAGCATCAACGTGAATTGTTTTCGTTAGAACTTGAAGTGCAATCTCGTATCAAAATGGTGAAAGGCATTTTAATTGAAATATATATTTTAATTAGAATATGAATGGATAAAGCTTCAATAATATAACATCATATATCATTTAATATAATAATCTTAATTATAATAAAGCCATATGGTCTTGTGAAAATTAAATGTTGATATTAATGTTTAAATGTTGGTATTAACAACATTTAATTTTCACAAGATCATATGGTATATATATATATATATATATATATATATATATATATATATATATATATATATATATATATATATATATATATATATTAAAGCAAAACAATAGGAGCAAAAAAATCCTGCCCAAACCGAACGTCGACGTTTTGGACAAAGCCGCTAAATTTATTGTTTTTGCTTCGGAAAACCAAAGGTCTGCGCAGTATAATACCTAAAGTATATCGAAAACCTAATTTTTTCAAAATATCTACAACAGATCATTCTCCCATCCAATGGGATTAGAGAATGTATTTAAGGCAATCAGTTTTTCATATGGGACATTGAGCCCACGAACCCATACCTATTCTCTAGGCATTTATTGATGATGATGATGATCAATAACGAAAGGTCATCAGGCCTTATATATACAACACATATACAACTACTGAATACATTCGCAATCTCCCTCTACAACAGCCTCTCTATTCTTCTTCAATAACGAAAAATGTTTGTCCTTGCTAGCCAGATATCTTCGATGAATACCAGGCAGGCTCTTAGACTACGGGTGGTGCGAGCATATCAGATTCCTGAGGGAAGTGATCCATCGAAATTTAGATCAAAAGAGATTGTTTTTCATGATAAAGAGGTAAGTACTCTTTAAAAATAGATAGACAGTCGTTTTACTTATACAGTTCGTATTTTTTTCCGATATTCAAACAGAGATTATATATATTTTACAGTCCCTATTTTTGTTATTTACACATTCACATGGGTCCTTCTTGCTTGCTCATATACCCAAAGAGTACGTGGAAAAGTACCTTAGCAGTTTTGATGAAGGTTCAGTATATGCTATAAAAAATTTTTGTGTTATCACCAATTTTTACTCATACAAAACCAGCCCAGAGAAGTACATGATAAAATTTAACTATCAGACTATGGTTAAGGATTTAAGCATGTGAAATTTCCTATGAAAATGTATCGGCTGAAGACCTTTAGAGAGATCAAGTCTAATGAAGGCCTTGATGAGAAAATCTTATTTGGTAATCAGTGCTCTCATTCAATCTATGGTTTCTAATTATTTACTATTTTGTCTACTATTCTATATTCTAAAGCATTATTTTGTAGATGTTATTGGTCGAGTGATTGAAATACACTGCCCACAGGAGAAACTAATTAATGGCAAGAACTCCAGGCTGATTGACTTCACCATTGAAGATACTGAGTACTACTGAATTCCAGTACCTATGGTTTATTTTCTATTTTAGAGATTTCTGAGTTTCTAATATATTTTCTAAATATTTTTAGTGGAATACAACTAATGTGTACTTTGTGGGATGAACACGTAAGCAAGATTGAGGCATTCTACAATTCTACTACACAAGAGCCATTATTGGTGTTGATACAGTTTTGTAGGGCTAGGGTGTGTCTAAAAAGTAAGTAGATTAAATCCTATAACTGCTCCTAACTTATTCACCAATAAGCCTTTCTAATGTGTATTAGAACATTATTTCCTAAAGGTGGTGATGTCAAGATTTGTAGCTCCTATGATGTAACACAGCTGCTTTTCAACCAAGAATCTCCCCCATTTGAGGAGTTCATGAAAAGGTACTTGCATTCTTTTTTTTTTTTTTTTTTTTTTTTGCAGCTGCAATTTTACATTTAATATTAATTCTGATTTTATGTTATCATTTTACAGTATTAGCCAAGAACAGACTCCAATGCGCAGTATAATTTCCCAGTCAAGTTTTAAGGAATGTAGCTCCTATTCAGTTTCCCTATCTGCTGATATGGAAGTTCGTACTATCAATGACATCTACAGAGACAAGGAGGTAAGACTGTTTTAAGGGATGTAGCTCCTAAGACTGTTAAAACAACGAATGATTATATTAACCTAAACATTAGACCAAACAATTCGTATAATGTTTAGATTTTATAGATGGAATTTCCAATTAATAATATACCTCTGTGTCTTTACTTTGTTGCAATCCATGTCTTTACTTTGTTGCAATCCATGTTAGTACAGAGTTCTGGCATGTTTAACCTGCAATTAATGTAAAGCATGAGCTACATAAATAATATCACAAATCTGCAGCCCTCTATAATATACATTAGACCCAACACCTTTAAAATGTTTAGAGGTTATATATGGAATTCTGCCACTTAATAATATACCTCTATGTCTTTACTTTGTTGCAATCCATGTCTTTAATTTGTTGCAATCCATGTTAGTACAAACTTCTGGCAGGTTTAACCTGCAATTAATGTAAAGCATGAGCTACATAAATAAAGACACAACTCTGCACCCCTCTATAGTATAGAGTTAAAAATATACCTCTATGATATTACTTGATTGCAATCCATGCTTTCAGTTCTGCTCAAAGTTGCACAATAGATCCAATTTCTTTGTTGTTTAACCTGTATTAGCTAATAAGCATGAGATGGAGAAATAGTAACACAAATGTGGTGTCCTATATAACTTATTCATATTAATCAGTCCACCAGTGTGTACTTATCTCTTTCAGGTCTGGTGTTAATTGTTTTGGTAGCAAATACCACCTGTTAACCCACAAACCTGCACAATCAAACACATATTGATGGTTTAATTAATGTTAGATAAAAATTGATGGGAAGATTTGTACTAAATAATCACACATATACTGATTTCGGCTATGTTATAAACTCTGTTAACAGTCTAACATATTATGCAGTTTGGCGATTTTTGGGTGGCAGCAAGGATTGTATTCATTGATGATCCAGAGTGGTACTATGCTTCGTGTAGTACAAAGGGTTGCAACAAAAAACTGAAACTCAAAGGAAAGTGGCTATGGTGTAGTACATGTGACAGAAATTGGGGTGACGGGACACTCAGGTACAGAATTAAGGTTAGAGTTGTGGACTTGGATGGCAATACTCCTTTCCTTCTATGGGACAGGGAGTGCCTCGATCTACTTGGAATTAGCGCGGATGATCTGTAGGATACCCATACTAAGGTACAAAACTATATTTCAATCTTAGCTAGACTATTAACTTAGTAGTACCTGAACCAGATAAGTTGTGTTTTCAAATACTGTTTCACATATGGTATATAGGAAAATTAAAATCTATACTAACTTTTTATGTAGGGAAGGAAGGGTCTACCTAAGGAGCTCGAGACTCTAATTGGACTGAATCTCCTATTTCGAATTGCCGTTCGCAAAGAACAGTTCCAGAATTATCTCAATGCTTTCCCTGTTATGAGGATCATCACTGATGAAAAGATTGTAGAAAAGCATTGCCCAGAACTAATAGGAGTAAGGGATAGGGATCTCAGTTCAAAGTTGGAGTTGGAGCTTACAGATGAGGACCTATGGGATCTAGAGGTATACTTGGGGTTACCGAGTAACATGTTGTACCAATTAGTTTATAGTTTATTATTATTGGTGACTTAAACATTTTGAACTTCTGATTTTGTAGGAAGCAGACCAAGCAAATGAAGCTGAAAGTCCACTCCAAGTTGTTGCACAGAGACTCAATGCAGAGAATAGTGTTGAGAATGGAACAGTCAAGAGATCACTAATCGATGAATTTTCAAGCACACAAAGTTCAAAAAAAATCAAGAAATGTGTGGTCAAGATTGAGAAGGAAGCAGATGTGTAATGATTTAATGATTGACAATGTGCTCTATTGGACTCTTTTTTGTAACAATGGTTTTTATGTTGACATTTTGGTGACTCACTCAAACAGCTAGACTGAAACTTTCAATCATTTTGGATTATATTCGTAGATCATTGTTTTTTTATGAATTCTCAGAATTTGTTCCTAGGAGCTGTTATGGGTACTGGATTTGTTATATTCCTTTTGCAGATTTTTTTTTTCAGGGAGTGGGGCACAATGATGGAAAATGAATGCAGATGTATGGTAAAAGACGTCAAGAGATGGCTGACATGGCAGAAAAAAATGAAGAAGATGGCAGAGATATCACTAAAAATGGAAAGTGATGACACATAAATCACTTGAAGATACAGATAACATCTAGCAAACAGACCATCAAATTGTATTTGTAGCGAAATGTAATACAGGCAAATGACTACTTTTTAGATGCACAACATTATTGTAGATTAATGTAATGTCATTTTTAATGGTAAAATATTATTCTATATTTTCCAAGCTCCAGCTAATAATTCAAATCCTCCATTTTGTGCCATAATTAACAATTCCCTTACATTAAATACTAACATCAAATCAACTCATTGTCATCCAAACTTAACTCCACAAATAATGTAAACAGAATATCAAATTTTAATAGTGTATAGAAACCATCAAAAGTAATAGTGTACTCTAACTTGAAAATTTGAATGTAGTATTAAAACAGTACAGTTGCAACCCTTGTTGACTATGCAACACCCTTAGAAGTTTGATAAAGTAAAAGTAATTAAAATAGTTTTAAAACTAAGTGCTTAAACATATTTTGTTAATGAATATATAGATTTTATTCCAAGTAGGCATGATTATACCTGATTATGCACTTACCAGCCTCTGTCATCTTAAAGCTCACTTCAAAGTCCTTTTAAGTGAACTTCCAGGTCCTTTCTGCATGTCCTTTTAAGTGAACTGCCAGGTCCTTTTAACTGAACTTCCAGTTCCTTTATGCAACATTTGCTTTATAGCATCCTACCTGCAGTTTAACCAAAAAGTGATTGATTAAAAATATTAATGGCAGCCACATCGTAGTCAATTTCTAACACATGGATTAAGTTCACAAAGTTAATTGTGGACTCAGTGATGAATAGTGAATTACCCTTTGAATTCACCAACTTTGTGATTAGGAAGCCTCCTAATTTAATGTTAGTTGAGGACCGTAGGTGTAGCAGCTTACCTGCAGTGGCCAAATAGTGAATTAAAGAGATAACTCATTATATACACCATCTAATTTAGTAACAATGAAAGGGTATTATTGTTGTTAATCACATTATATTGAGCATTTCTAAGTCTATTAAAAATTATCTTTGAGCCGTGCTTAGTAACTGTTTGGCCAATAGTCTTGACAGCCTCTTTGTTATTAGGAAGACTACTCAAAGAATTATAGTTGAATACAGATTGTGTATATCAAAACTGCAATTGGAGAATTTCAATTCACTGAATTAAATCTTATAAACATCACCTAATGTACGAACACTGAAAGAATATTATACTCAACCTAAAGAACATTATATTAGAGGATTTGATAAATGTAAAACTTATCTTTTTCCCCAAGCGTAACAACCTCTTTAGTACAATTCCCATTATGTGCTAAAAACATATCACAGCATCTATTAAGTCTGTGCTCTATTCCACTCAGGGTCATCCAGTTAATAGTTGCTTTTGATGTGAAACCCAAAGCAACTTATTGGCATAAAAATTTAACTCCCTGACATTAGAGCACCCAACTGTTTGTTACCTGGAAACCAACATATATTAAACAACATATATAAAAATTTAACTCCCTGACATTAGAGATAATAAACATTATTAGAATCCAAACAAAGTTGTGAATTCCAGTTGGACAATGAAAAAACAAGTAGTCAGAATATCAATGAGCTAATATATTGATGGCACATTGCATTAAGTAGCTGATCAAAACCTTTTAGTATTCCAAAAGCAATTATAATTGCCATTTTCCAATGTTGTCTCCAAATATTAATTGACTACTTTAGACCTATATATTCAACAATTACATATTATTAACCTCTGTTGAGCACCACACCTACACAAATCCTATACTGGGCAATTCATCTCCCCTAGAGTACATGAGGAAACTTACATCTTCAACTACAATTGGTTCGAAGCGCAAGCATCCCATCAACAACCAAGGTAAATCTATTGACTTTTATCTTTATTCTACTATTCGGTCTTAGTTTATACAACTATTATATGATTTTTTAACTCTATTAAAAAGATTAAAAACGATCTCAACCAATATTAACGGATTGTATGTGTTATCGAAACACAAAATTAATCGCACAAAATAAAACTCATCAGATAGATTTCCAGGTTACCAAAATCGAGATGCATGTCTACCATATTAAGTTGAGATTTACAAATATAGTATATAAACGAGACTTAGATCTGAAAACTTAGAACAGTTAGGGTTAGAAATCAATACCGAATTTTTGTTGTGATTGTCCACATCGTGTGTTTGAACAGTCGCTTCTCCAAAATGGTTGACCTCCTGATAACATCGCACACATTTCTGTTCACCTGGGAGATCCCTAGCTACGCATGCACTCCGGCGAACATTAGGTTCACCGGATTCAACTCTATGCCACGATTGACACTAGGAAAACTCCGATTTACTGCTTTGACACTACTATAAACACTCAGAGTGGTAGTAGTTTTGAAAGCTTTGGGTGAGTGAATGCTTCACAGTACCATCCTCTTCATCGTTAATCCATAGCCAAGATATAGGAAATGACCGTCGAGAAACGATTAATACCTTAATCGAGTCTCACAATCGAACGCTAAACCCTTTATCATGTCCATTTTTAGTGAGAGAAACCACCGTCATTCACCGGCGACTTGGCTCACAATGGAGCCTTCTAGGAAATTAGTAAAGTGACTCCTTCTGCCTACATCACGGTGCGATTGCCAAAACAGTCTAATAATAATAATAATAATAATAATAATAATAATAATAATAATAATAATAATAATAATAATTATTATTATTATTATTATTATTATTATTATTATTATTATTATTATTATAAAATAGAGTTAAAACAGCCCAGAAATTGTTAACTTTCAAATATATTATTAATAATACTAGTATTTTCACCCGTGCGATGCACGGAATGGAATTGTTGTAATATATTAAGAATATTTAAATTGATATATAATTATTTAAGAGTTAATTTCACTAGAGGTCGTTTATCTTTCCTGACAATTCCAAATTTAATCCTAGACTATAGTTATTAATTATTACAATTTATTCTATGTTACAACTCTTACATTAATATTCTTACTATTATTATTAACACTTAATTACTTTTAGATATTATTATTACCACTTATATTATTATTATTATTATATTATTATTATTATTATTATTAGTTTCTTTTCAAGTACTGTTAGTATATAATGGTCGTGAGGCACAATAATAATATAATCATAATTAAATATTCTTGTATTGTATTCCGGAGTTAATGCCATTTTTGGTCCTAGACTTATTGAGGCATTGACACTTTTCATCCTCCATAATAAAAATTGCCACTTAGTAGACACTGTTATTGGTCGTTGGACAGTTTTGATCCTCCGTCAATGAAGCCGTTTGTTGACCGTGAATTAGAAGGGCTTTTCTGTCTTTTTATGTCTTATTCTTCTAATCTTGTTTAGACCAGCGCTGTTGTGACTCCTGTGAGGCGAGATGGCGAGACTTGGCGGCTAAGTAGTAACCGTCGGTAGTGAGTAGCAGCGAGGTTCTTCTCCGGTAAGTTGTGGGTACGGCGGCGAGCATACGAGGCAGTAACTCCTTCCGGCGACGGACCAGTAAGGCAGATCTGGCGGTGCAGCAACAGATTCGGCGAGGTTGGGGCCTTCACCGGTGGTTTTTGGTTCCGGCGAAGCAGAGAGGGCAGCAGGTCGGCGAACCCTCCTATGGTAAGTAGCAGTTGTAGTTGTAGATGGCGTGATGTAGAATTTGCACCTGTAAGTCCTCCCTTCCATATTGACCACAAATATCCTTCCCATCTCTCTCTCTCTCTCTCTCTCTCTCTGACCACAACTACTTGGTGCACAACCTCAAAAACTCTATTATTCTACCTGAAATTCATTGAAGTTTCAAGCTGAAAATGTGGAATCCGCCGCTCCCCAAAAATTGCATTGTCTGAGGTGTTGGAATGGTCGGTGTTGACTTCTTGGCTACTGTAGCTTCATTCCCCAACCCGGATGATAAAATTCGGAGCACCTGCTTTGAGGTTCAAGGAGGTGGTAACACTGGCAATGCTTTGATAAAACCCGGATGATAAAATTCGTCTTGGTCTTAATCCAAGGATCATATCTAAGGTTGCTAATGACTCGCATGGCGAAAGAATACTTGATGAGCTTGAAAGGGATGGTGTTGATACATCTTTTATGGTGGTGTCCAAAGGAGGAAACTCACCATTCACATATGTCATTGTTGACAACCAAAAAAAAAAAAAAAAAAACTCGCTGGTGAGCTGTCGTAGGCTCCCAAATTAAAACCTTACAAACGTAGTAGCGGGAGTAAGGATCGATCCCACGAGGAGTAACTAGTTTAACTTTTGTGCTCAAATTAAAGGTAGGGGGGGTTTGGAATATATCGAGAATAAATATTAAATAAAAGAGAAATTAAATAAACGAGAAATTTAATCGAACGAATAAACAGTGAAAATAATATATCGAAAACACTTATAATAAGAAACCTTGGTTAGTAAAGATCCACCACCGGAATTCAACACTGATCATTGATTAATAAAGTAATTAATATGCAATTGAATATTTGTCGTGAAATTATTTCATTTCTGTTTTCCCTTAGTTGTAGGTAAATAAAGCACAAGCGGTTTAATTACCCCTAACTACTAAATAACCTAAGACAAGCGCTATAGATTTAATTTAATAGCAGCAATAGGAACTAGGAAAACCGACAAACTAAATAACACAAGCACAAGCGGTTGCATTTAATTTAGGAAAATATTCTACCCGAGTCCAATTATCACTAAGCCGTCAATAATTAACCCAGTTGCTACTGAATATTAGAGTAATTTGTAGCACAACATTATCTAATATAGCAAATAATTATATCAAATAAATAACTAGTAGGCCTCCCTAGCAATTAAATGACACAATTACTTCAAATAACTTAGAAGAATATTTAATACTCAAATGCATAAAAATTATATAATAAAAATAAATAAATAACCTTACAGCGTTATGAACTCCGGGGCTTCAATTCACTAAACCAAACAAGAAATTAGCCGCGAATGGGCATTGATAACAACCTTAAAGAATA